ATAAAAAGGTTGACGTCAGCAGGATTGTGACGTAGTTTGCGGAGAAAATCCCGAAAGCTCAGAGTTGTTTACTTGTTTTGAGTTTTTTAAAAGCCAAAAGAAGCCAGTATTATGGTAAGTTTGAAGTAAATTTTTCTATATATAGGCCAAATGAGTTTTCATATTCGTTAGAGTTTAAATTTTATTTGTTTTTATATTAGATTGTACATTTATTTTACTGTCAATATTTAGCAAATTGTTCGCTCGGTCTGTTTACATATTTCGTTGCTAAAAAGTATAATTTTTCTTTTTTGTTTCTCGAATTCATCAGTCTAATCATCAGAACCTGGCAAAACCTTGATACAAAATTAAAGCTAGATTGTTGACCCAGACACGGAAAGTGTTATACACGATTGATAAAAGCTACTTGTCATGTATATGTTCACTTCAACTATATATCCATAAAATAATAGACTTATACTTATAGACAGTCTTAGTACCGCTCTTTGCACGATCACTGAGCCTGTGTATTGCTGTCTACAGCTTGAATCTGCTTGATTGGGGCCATTCTGATGATTAGACTGATGAATTCGAGAAACAAAAAAGAAAAATTATACTTTTTAGCAACGAAATATGTAAACAGACCGAGCGAACAATTTGCTAAATATTGACAGTAAAATAAATGTACAATCTAATATAAAAACAAATAAAATGTAAACTCCGACGAATATGAAAACTCGTTTGACCTATATATAGAAAAATTTACTTCAAACTTACCATAATACTGGCTTCTTTTGGCTTTTAAAAAACTCAAAACAAGTAAACAACTCTGAGCTTTCGGGATTTTCTCCGCAAACTACGTCACAATCCTGCTGACGTCAACCTTTTTATAAAGGTCTATTCTCAATTGCAAAATATCTATTTACGCGCGCGCATTTTTGAAAAGCAATTCAAATAAACACAAAAGTAAACATGCCTCGTTTTGTTGAGCTTTCAGGAGACGACATGGCGTCTTCGTTAGAAGGAAAAGGTGCAGTGAATACAAAAAAATCCACTAAATGAATAATTCGAAAATGAATAAGTAAATAATAAAACAATTATTGAACTTTGTTATCGGCAAATAATTGATCTGCTCGCCACTGACAAATCAGCGATATTTTGTTCAACCTCGTCCAATAATTGTATAGTATTTCACTACAGTATGGAGTAAAAGACATACAGACAGCGAAAAGTATATTACAAGAGACAATACCTTATAACTTCTAAGAAGGCCATTTCTGTTATTAGAAAACTAAAAGAATTTGTTGACCGTGATACACGCAATTGTACAACCATACTTTACTTATTGTTGTGAAGTGTGGGACATTTTTGGTGAAACTCAATCACAACGATTACAAAAGCTTCAAAATAGATGCGCTCGAATTATTATGGACATGGGTAACGCAGTTAATGCCCAAATCGCATTAAATTCGTTAGGATGGGAGACACTAAAAGTACAAAGAACTAAAGCTAAGGCAAAATTAATGTTCAAAATTTTGAATATGTCTGGACCTAAAAGCCTAACAGACCTTTTTACCTACAAGAATGAGAATACGCATTACTGTCTCCGTGACAATGAAACAACACTCGTTTTGCCACAGCCCCGCACAAATAGCATGAAAAAGAGTTTTATGTTTAATGGGGCAAAAATATGGAACTCAGTGCCTAAAGAAATCAGAGGAATTAGGTCCCAGTCTCTATTTGAAAGAAAAATTGCTGCTCATGTTTCTAAATAATATATTTATACATACATATATATATATATATCCTTTATTGTAAATAGTTATCTATATGTTTTGTTAGTTGTCTATATTGTCAATTTTGTCAATTGGAACAGTTAGATTATTTCTATTTTCTTTTATTTGATTCCATAAGAGTCATAACAACACTATGGTGGCCCAGAACTGCCAAATTAATTTTACTTTTTTTTTCAAATAAATTTAAATCTTTTATAAAATTGATTTTAATGTAAAAACATGAAGCTTATTAAAATAAAAACAAAACGTTTTCCACGTGGCCCAGAACTGCCAACTGCCAAAAAATAATTAGGATGCGATTACAAATAATTAATTTTCTGAGCCAGCGATACAGTTTATTGCATAACCGCATTAAAAAAAACAACATGGCGGGCGAGAGAGGATCTTGGAAAAGTGACAGTAAACTGGAGGAGGATTTGAAGAAATACGTAGCAACGAACATGCAGCGGTTGGAGATTCTCGACTTTATGAAAAAGAAATATTGCATTTATAAGTGGAGTTTGAGAACTCTAGATCGTAGATTGAGACATTTTGGAATAAATTATATTGATCGCGATGTACCTCTGGACGTTGCAAGGGAAGCAGTTAGGAAAGAGCTTGATGGCCCAGGAGTAATGCTTGGTTATAGGGCGATGACCCAAAAGATACGCCAGAAGTACGAGTTAAAAGTCCCTAGAGCTCGTGTTCATGATTTGATGTTCGATCTTGATCCGGATGGCTTAGCTAGAAGAGCTCCTGGTGCCAAGAAGAAAAAACCCAAAGGTCACTTTGTAACCCTTGGACCAAATTGGACATATTCAATGGACGGACATGACAAGATGATGGGGTATCAAAGTTCGACTTTCCCTATTGCAATATATGGGTGTATCGATACTGCCAGCAGAAAATTAATTTGGCTCAAAGTATGGACAACCAATTCCAACCCAGTATTTGTTGGTAAGTGGTACTTGCAGTCATTGTTGGAGACTGGTATCTTACCAAACTACATCCGCCTTGATAAGGGAACTGAAACCACAACCATGAGCACCATTCATGCATACCTCATCAGCCAACAAAGCCAAGGAGATCTTAATGACCCTACTGATTCAATTTTATTTGGACCCTCGCCTTCAAATCAGGTTTGTATATTATTTACATGTGTATATATATAATATTCAGTCAAATTTACACACTTTTATTCTGATGATTACCTCAACACTCAAATGTTGACATTATCTATCTTCTAATTTGTAGATTGAAAGATGGTGGAGGGAACTACACGAGCGTTTAGAGAAGTATTTTAAAATTGGATTGAATTGGTTAAAAGAAGAATGCCATTATAACCCACAAGATGAAACAGACAGGTATATGCATCCAACTGAATTACCATACCTCATATACTAGCTAAGCATGTAATGTATTACTTCAAGTTTTCACACAATATAATACTGCCTGTCTCAAGCAATAAATCACTTCAATTGAGGTAAGCAAAAAGTGCAGGTGGGTGTATGTTAGTCTAAATACAACATGACCACCATATTCACAGGAACTTGCTCTTACCAAGTGTCACTAAATATTAAGAGTAAATTACTCAAGTCTAAGAGTTGAAAAAGTATGCACCCAACCACAGTGTTTACATTACTTTTTCAACAGGTCAATGCTTGCTTATATCATGATTCCTATGATGCAAAGAGAACTTGACGAATTCCGTCTGACAATATGGAATACCCATAGAATCCGGGCACAGAAAGAAACTCTCATGGCAGATGGTATTCCAGACCATATTTTTGAATTTCCAGAAAGATATGGAATGGAAAAGAAAGGTTACTTGTCTTATATTGCACGAATGCGTGCAATGTATTATCTTATCTTTATAAGCAATATTTATATTACTTCAGTTGAACATCGATATTCCCTTACATTTTGGTATCTCCTTACATTTTGGTATCTCCAAGCCATATTTATATATACGAATTTAAATTCCTCACCACAGATTGTGTGTTAACGAAAATGTGTCCAAATTCCGTTTGAATATTTGCAAGACAACTGCATTTCCCAGTATATATTATTACTAGCATATTGTTTGTTTGTCCAAAAAGTTGCACTTCACCACACATGCTACCCCATGCAGATCAACCTCAAAAATGTGGATTGGATTATGTCATAAAAGCATGGCTGTGACATGCCACACCAGTTTCTTTGCATTGATTGGCAATACTGAAAATCCACCATTCAGGCCTCCCAAGACTTATTTGTTTCAGGCATGTTTGAGTCCAGATAATTTATTCAAGTTACTAGTAATGCAAAGGCTTATTGAAGAAGGGGGAAATAGAGAGGAAGGTATACTGTATATAGTGCAACATACAGTACCATTTACCCCCCCCCCAAAAAAAAAGTAACACATGGTGACAAGACAGAATGGAGAATTCACACAATTTTTCTTCATTTATAGGTTTTAAAGTAAACAATCAAGATCTTCAAGTTGTAGCAGAATTATCAGGAGTCTTGGAAGCTCCAGATGATTTTCTGTCATTAGAGTTACGCACTTTGTTCAATGATTTGCTACCGGAGCCAGAAAATGTCCAGTGTAACGAATTTGTTCAAAAATATTTGTTACTTAAACAAAAATACCAGGATTCAATAAGTGAATAAAATTTTGTAAAATGATGATCATGTAAAATGCTGAAGCATCAGTTAAAACAAGAAAACAAACATATTATTGTTTTTTTTAAAACAAGAAACAAACATATTATACTATACTGTCTTAGTATCCATTTATAAACTTTGTGTGCAGCATGTGGAATGTCACAGTTTACAGTATTCATGTTGATGAACAATTTAGATGATACTTCATTACCTAGAAGTTTTATTATTGATATTCTATAAATATCATATTAGGGTCAGTCAGTTGATTATCCACACCCCTTCTCCTACTCTTCCTTTGTATGTAAATTTCAGATTGGTTGCAGTATATGTTCTTAATTGAAATACAAGACTAAAGGCATATAATCAATTAATATTAATTGAAATAATGAATTTTCTAAAATTTCTTATGAATGGATTAATGCCTTTATAATGGCTGTTTCCCATTGTCTTTGTAGTCGTCTAAAGGGGTGTGGATTTTGAATTGAATAACTTTTAAGAGTAAAAGAACTACAATGTCGAACAAACTGATAAATTATAGAAACACTTTAACTGGTCATGTAAGTTTTCAAAAGACACATTCTCATGTTCTTGTATCTTTACGCATCATTCTCTACTTCTTCCGGCACGAGACCAAGGAGGTTACAAAATGCATTACACTTATGAGCATTGAAGAAATTCAAGTATGCTTCTGTTGATAGATTTCCAGCACAGAAGAGAAGGCGGTCGTCATTGTCATATATGCCAGAGACTGTGGCAATTTCAGGATCTGTTAGGTTATACTCACCTCCTTGGATATCTACCAACAAGAGTTTCCTGTTCGACTTTACAAACGAAAAATGAACAAGGCTTTCGGCCTTTCTTTGCTTCTCAATGTCCTTGTTATGTGAGATTGTTCCATCGTTGTTTACATATTTTTGGAAAGTACCGGATGCAAACTGTTCTATTGTTACAATTTGGTTTGTGCGCTGAACCTTTCCCAAAAATGCATCAACATACCGAAATGGCTTTCCAAATACATTTTTGTTTCCATCTTTCTCTACTTTTGCTGCAACTTGTTCTGCGAAATTATTTGCCAATGCTTGCATCTGAATAGACTTTCGTGCATGGTCTTCTTGAGTCTCGTTTACTGCTCCAATCAGTTCAACTGTTTTAGGTAAGAAGCGTTTCACAATGTAGGTTTTACCTTCAAAATTTGGTGATTTCGAGGTAGCCTTGTATGCAGCACGAAAACCACCTTCAGCAAACTTCTCCTTTTCAATTGTAAAGTGTACGGATACTGGCGGTGACCAGACCATATCATTAATATTAAATCTTGAAACTTCAACAATCTCCTGCGAAGTTTCCGTAGCCGTTATAG